GGCGGGCCGACTTCCCCTCCCTGCCTCCCTCTGTCCCTCCCTCCCTGCCTCCTTCCCTCTCGCCCGCCGGCGCCGGACACACCGCGCCTCATCTCTCGGGCGCCCTTCCCTCTTGGCCAGCCGTCGCCTCCCGTGCAACTTCGGGGCAGTGGGCGCTTGCTGTTGAATGTTCCCCGCCGCGAGCGCATGGCTGGGGAAGCGAGGCGCGGCCCCGGCCCCCGAGGGCTCGCCGTCTGGGAGGCGGTGATGCTGCTGCTGAGCCTCGGGGTCCCGACCGGACGCCCCTACAACGTGGACACCGAGAGCGCGCTGCTCTACCAGGGCCCGCCGCGCACGCTGTTCGGCTACTCGGTCGTGCTGCACAGCCACGGGGCCAAGCGCTGGTGAGTGGAGCCGGGCTCGGGCGCTCTGGGCGTCGCGGGGCGGCGTGAGAACGGAGCCTCAGAAATTCCCTGCCCGGCTCGAACTTTCCTCCCTGCGGAGGAGGCGGGAGGGAGACGCCGCGACAGCCGGCTCTCGGCGGCAGCGCCCGGGGTGCGTCTTGGCGCAAGGCCCTGGAGGTTTGGTCAGGGGTGCCGGCCGGGTGCGCGGGGTGGTGGGCGGGGGGGGATGTGAGCGAAGCGGCCCCACCGCCTACTGCGCGTCTGCTGGGACGGGGTGCTCAGTGGGCAGCGCCGCTCGAGTCTAAGCGCACGTGCTCGTTTCTCGCTTCAGGCTCGTAGTGGGGGCGCCCACTGCCAACTGGCTGGCCAACGCTTCAGTGGTCAATCCCGGGGCGATCTACAGATGCAGGATCGGGAAGAATCCAGGCCGGACATGCGAACAGCTCCAGCTGGGTGAGTTGGGTATGAGACCAGGAGTTAGGGACCCTACCTGTGGACTCCACCGCAGGAGGGCAAGTCCTGGAGAAACGCGTGTCTCCTGTTACTTTGAGCTTAAAGTGCATAATTTCAAGTTTTAATTTCACACCATCTTCCCTTCTTAATATGAAAGTGGTCCACTTCTTTCTGTCAATATTTTTCTCCTCTTTGCTTATGACAATCATTGTAGTACTCTGACAAAACCATACAGAGGAAAGTTTCTGATGATACCTTCTCTTCACCTCTCCATTTCTCCCTCCATGTGTAAAAGTCTCAGCATACGAAAGGCAGGATCCAGCTAAGTCAAGAAATAAGCATTTTATTTCCGTGTTTGACCAATCAACTTTATTAAAGAACAGACTAACAGGCAGATCAGGAATAGCAGTTGGAATTGATCCCATATCTTGTCATTTAGCCTAAGGGCTTTTTCTTTTTTAAAAGAGAGCGATATTGTTTTACTTAGAATATGCAACGTTTAAGAAAAGCCCAAGGAAAAACTGGCATCTCCTTTGTTAATATAGTTCACATGAGGCTTAATATATAATTATTAATTTTCCTCTCCAAACATTTTCATGTTAAATAGATCCATCTTTTTGCAGTGATTTCTTAATGTCTCTTCTTAGATTTTGACAACTTGAAAAATATGTACTGGTGGGGGAGGGGAGACGTTTCACGTTTCAAAGTCAAAAGCAAATTTGCTGCACACAGACAAGTGTGGGAAGAAAGGGGAACTAATAATAATTCAGACCTATCTTGTTTCCAAACACTATTATGTACTGCTATATATGTTGCTTAATTTTTTTCCCCTCAATGCATCCTGGATCATGGTTGAAAGTTACAGCATCCTGGTCTAAAGTTACTTAGTAAGTGGTAGGTGGGACCCCAGGTCAAAGTCAGGTTTTCTTGGGTTCAAAGTCTAAGCCCTTTCCTTTCATGCATGCATCTTCAATGTAAATAAAATCAAATAAAGGGGACAATACGTTGTCTGCTAAGCTGATGGGACATGTGTAAGTGATGAATAAAAGATCACAATTAATACTTTTTAAACATTTATCTCTGCTATGAATGGACTTTTGAGATTAGCTACTTACTGTGTCTTTAACTCTTTTTCTTTTTATGGTAGTCTGTGCTTTTTCTCAAACTGTGAAGCGGGTTTCTTCCATTCAGATGAATTCAAATAGAATATGAACATAATGGAATTTTTACTTTTAACTCAGGGAGCAACCATAAAAGTCCAGGAGTTGTCTATAGAATGTAGACTAAGCCCCAGCCTCTCATTAAGCATCCTCCATCCCAAAGGCAGACTAGGAAAGCATAAAACATTCACAGACCTATACATTTGGAATAATTTTGCAAAGCATAATTTTTATTGCATGAGAGAGTTGTGGGGTGGAGAATTAGGGAGTGGAGCAGACACCCTTGATCTGCCAGAGGATCTTGACAAGGTTTCAGGAGGGAACAATTTTATTTCTGTTGTCTTGTCACAGTTTCCTGATTCATGACATAACTGGTATTTAGCACATACTTCCTGTCTGGAAGGGCACTTAATCTATTTCTGGATGTTGGTGTTTAACTGGAAAGATCATGTCATAATATTAAATTATGATGATAATGTCCATAAACTGAAGGAAAATCTAAATTATTTGATCATGCGGAGCATAGAAGTTGACTTTGGAAATATCCTCAGAAAATGTGCACATGGTAGATGTATAACAATCATGAATTAAATGAAGATTTGTTGGATGGGTGAATGAATAAAAGTAAAGCAAAAGTTTGTCATCAACCTGATTGGTGATAAAGAGAATTAGAAATGACAAGCCAAAGTGATATTTTTAACTTTCTAAAGTTTGGTTAATAAAAAAGGTACATACTGAAATGTAAGGCAAAAAGTTGACAAGATTTCTAGTCAATCAACTAGTTGAAACATTAATAGCTATAGTGATAGCTTTGAATATTTGCAAAAGAGTTGACTGAAATTATTTCTCATGTAACATTCTAAATATCTTCTTTTCCTTATATAAAGAATCTGTATGTCTCTATTCAGAACAAATTCAGAAGTAGCTTCAAGCTATAGAATAGGGACTGAGGCTAAAGTCTAGAAAGAGAACACTAGAAACAATAAATTGGATATTTTAGTATTCTCAGGTTTGTGGCCTGTGTACTATTTCTTATGAAGAAGTCTCAAGGGTGTGTGTGTGTGTGTGTGTGTGTGTGTGTGTGTATGTGTATGTGTGTGTATACCATCTTATATAGAAGATTGTGTGTGTTTCAATTTTCTTTATAAGATGGCTTCAATTGTTCTATCTCAAATGTGGGTAACTATAATATTTGGAAAATGTTCAGCTCAGTACCTGACACATAAAAGACATTGAAAAAAACCTCTAGTTTATTCCTTCTAATCCCTATCTTCTACTTAAATCTACACCTGTATGCTATCTGTAATCATCAGATTGAGGTTAATAAATAAGGACAATTCATAAACTAAACCAAAAGTTAAAAAGTTAAATGTATAAATTAAAAGGAAACAATTGAAATAAAATGCAATGAAAAATATTTTCTTGTTGGTTCAACAAAACATGTTATCATAAATAAAGATTGAGCTATGATTGCCCTATCAGTTAGGTATCTTCTTTCATGTGGAATAACTTTACTTGCTATCAAGAATCTGAAGGTGCAGAGTCTCTTAAAATGGTGCCCATCCTCTACACAATTCAAAATATCCAGATGGACCAGTCATTAGGTATCTCTAGAATTTCAGATCAACTGTTGATTCAGGTAGTCTCCTCCCCCACCCTACCTCACCTCTGTGGATAATGGCGTCCTATACCAGGCCATGTTCACCATAGCCATAATCAGAAGAGAGCAGCAAATGTCCGTTTATCAAGGATGCTCAGGGCAGGAAATGTTAGGAGTAAGATACCCCTTTTACTGAAGAGAATTGACTGTGGAGGCGGCATCAGGAGAGTTGCCTGGATAGTTCCACAAGGTGCTTTTTCTTCCTGTGCACAATCAGCCTTCTTCCACCTCCAGGTCTTTCTTCTCTCGCTTCCTTGGTACTTCCCTCTGTGAACCAAGGGAAGGTAGCCTTCCCTTCAGAAGGGTCTGGGTGCAGACTGGTTGCACAGTCATGAGGACTGTCTGAGAAGGCCGTGGTGATTTCCACATGTCCACTTTTCTACTCAGGCACTCTGAAGCTTTTGTAAAGGAAACTGAGATAGAAAATGTTCCTGAGTCAAAGCATCACAAATAATGACTCCATTAACATAGTTAAGCATAGCCAATCCATGGATTACCAATATTCAAAGAATTAGAACATTATAAAATACATAAATGAGTATCAACTTATAATAAAAATGGTCTTTATTTGGTTATTCAATAGACACTCCAGATCTTTTATTACTTTGGAGTTACCACCAATAGCATTATACACATACACATGCACATCTGTATAGTAGAGTTTAAACTTATACAGTTACACTGTCTAATACAGTAGCCACTAGCCACATGTGGCTATTGAGTATATGAAACATGGCTAGTCTGTAATGAGAGGTGCTCTAATGTAGATTACATACTGGATTTCAAAGACTTAGTAACAAAAAAAGAAAATAACTCATTAATTTTTAACATATTGATTACATGTTGAAATAGATATTTTAAATCAATATTGATTACATAATAATTTTCTAGAAGTATTAAGTTAAATGAAATATATTATTAAAATTAATTTTATTCATTTCTTTTTACTTTTTTAGTGTAACTACTATCAAATTAACAATCTTATATGGGCCTGCATTATGTTTCTATTGGACAGCTCTGCTCTAGAAAAACATAAGTTCCTTTTATAAAATAACACTGATTTTTTAGCAGGTGCTTTCCCGATATCTGTGCATAGATGAATAGGACTTTCACTTTTCTTTTCCAGACCAAGTGCTCTATAGTTACAGGGCCTTTAAGGTCCCTGCCTGCCTCTCTCTTTTTTACTGAAAAGGCCAATGGTCCATCACAACTTAGTCACCATTGCCCCTCTTCAAATTCTTTTCTGGAAATTTATCACCTTAGCCTGCCTTCTGGTTTATATTACATAATGCTTTTAGAGTAGGCTAAGTTAGTTAACATTGTGTTATTAAACTAACGTTTCCTCACCCTCATTTCTTCCTCAATGCAGGAGTTATTAGCTTGACTTTAAAAGGCAAATGTCTTACTGTTGAAACTTCAAATATATCCTTTTTGATAACTTTCTTTTGCAGTACTTGGGTACTTCAAAAAGCTCATGAAAGGGCTAGCCCGGTGGTGCACTGCTACAGTGCGCCGCTTGGGAGCGCGGCGGCACTCCCGCCGAGGGGTCGGATCCCACATACAGAGCGGTTCCCGCTCACTGGCTGAGCGAGTTGCGGGTGCAACACCGAGAGTTGCAATCCCGTTGCCGGTCCCGGTCCGGTACGGGCGCGACACTGAGGGTTGCGATCCATCCCGTTGCCGGTCCCGGTCCGGTACGGGCGTGACACTCAGGGTTGCGATCTGTTGCCGGACACGAAAAAAAGACAAAAAAAGGACGGGTGCAACACCGAGGGTTGCAATCCCGTTGCCGGTCCCGGTCCAGTACGGGCGCGACACTCAGGGTTGCGATCTGTTGCCGGACACGAAAAAAAGACAAAAAAAGGAAAAAAAAAAGCTCATGAAAGAATAGAATTAACTTTTTGAAGTACCCTCATGCTTTAAACTGTAGCTTATGAAGCTGAGATTGATGCAAATTGGTCATTTAAAAAAATCAACCTTGGGCCAGCCCGGTGGCGCACTGGAGAGTGCGCCACTTGGGAGCGTGGCGGCGCTCCCGCCGAGGGTTCGGATCCCATGTGGAGACCAGTTCCCGCTCACTGGCTGAGTGCGGTGAGGGCGCGCGAGGGTTCGGATCCCATGTGGAGACCGGTTCCCGCTCACTGGCTGAGTGTGGTGAGGGCGCGATGCTGAGGGTTGCG